CCGAGGTAACCAGTGCTAAGGCCATTTTTTCCAAGTTGGAGTACCGGGTTTCTGTGCCGTTGAGATCATTGCTAGTATAGTAGATCAGCCTCTATACCCGGTCTTCCTCCTTAACTAGTACCGAGCTGACGACCTCATCCCTGGCCGAGAGGTAGAGTAGTAACTCATCCCTTGGGCTCGGCTTAGTGAGGAGAGGTGACGAGCTCAGGTACTGCTTCAGCTCTTGAAAGGACCGCGCGCATTCCTCGGTCCACTAGAAGTCCTTTGGTCGCTTGAGGGCTTTGAAGAAGGGTAGACATCGGTCTACGAATTTGGACATGAATCTATTGGGGGAAGCTACTCTACCGGTGAGTCATTGCACTTATTTGTGAGTTTGGGGCGATTGCATGTCGAGGATGGCTTGTATTTTCTCTGGATTTGCTTCAATCCCTCTCTATGTCACCATGAACCCCAGGAATTTACCCAAGCCAACCCCGAAAGTGCATTTGGTTGGGTTTAGCTTCATCTTATACTTCCTGAGGGTGCCGAAGACTTCCTTTAGGACAGCAAGGTGGTGCTCGGCCTTCTTGCTCTTCACGAGCATGTCGTCGATGTATGCTTCCACGTTTCGGCCAAGCTAATCCTTAAATACCTCATTCACCAGGCACTGATAGGTGGCGCCAGCGTTCTTGAGGCCGAAGGGCATCACCTTGTAGCAGTATAGACTACGGTCGATGATGAATGCCATTTTCTCCTGGTCATCTAGGTGCATTCGAATCTGGTTGTATCCCGAGAAGGCATCCATGAAGCTCAGAAGTTGTCCTTAGGGCAGACTTTGTTTAGGTCGGTGAATTCGATGCATATCCTCCACTTCCCATTGGCCTTCTTCACCATCACCACATTGGCCAGCCAATGGGGTATTTGACTTCTTGAATGAAGCCGACGTCGAGCAACATCTGCACTTTGTCAGGGATCACCTGCCACTGTTCTGTAGCAAAGCTCCTCTTCTTCTATTTGATAGGTTGGTAATGAGGGTCAGCGTTCAGGCAGTGTGAGATGACTTCGGGGTCAATCCCCGGCATATCTTCCTCTGACTAGGCAAACACGTCGGCGTGATCCCTTTGCAGCTGTACAAGTTCTTCCCGGATGTGGTCATCTAAGAGAGAGCCTACTTGGATTGTCCTCTCGGGGTCTTCTTCGTTGAGCGGCACCTGAATGAGGTCATCAACAAACTGACTGCGTTGTGTTCTCACCTTGTCCCGTAGGTCATAGACTTCAGCCATCAATGTTTCTGCGATTGGGCGTGGTCCTCGGTAGGATAGCAAGTAGCACTGCCGCGTAGTCCTTCGGTCTCCACGTACTACACCTACGCCGTATTCAGTGGGGAACTTCATGGAAAGGTGGAATGTGGAGACCGTTGCTTGTAGAGAATTAGGGGTCAGCCTACCGAGGATAACATTGTAAGATGAGGGGCAATGAACCACAATGAAGTCCACCATGGTTGTCGCAGTGATGCCGCCATCTTCGATCAGGAGGGGAAGGGTTATCCTTCCAGTGGGCAGGATGGACTCCCTAGAGAAGCCCATTAGGGGAGTGTTGATGGGGGTGAGGCGCTCTTTATCGATGCCGAGCTTCTCGAATGCATCCTCGAAGAGCACATCAACGGAGCTACCTGTATCAACCATAATCCGCCGCATCTCAAAATTAGCAACCTCGGTTGTGATTACCAAGGCATCATCATGCGGGGTTTGAACCACTTGGAGGTCATCGTCAGTGAAGGTGATTGACTGGTCATGCTTCTTCTTGTGCCCTTGGTTGTCGATTTCGCACAGCCATGCATACTTCTTGCACCTCGAGCTACTCTTTCCTGCTGTGACGATTCCTCCTGATACGACGTGGATCACACCAGTAGGAGGGGCTCAGGAAGGTGGTTGAGCATTCTCCGCGCATTGTTCTTCCTGTGCCGGATTCTCGCTTTTGTCAATGAACCCGCCGAGGTACTTGCGCCTGATCAGGTCTTCGATGTGGTTGCATAGGTCGAAACAGTTCTTTGTGTCGTGGCCGTGGTTTCTATGGAACTCGCAATACTTGTCATGGTTCCTCTTGTTGCCTTGCGTTTTCATCTTCTCGGGTCAACGAATGTAACTGCGGTCACGGATTTGCATTAGGACTTCAGACCATAGTGCACTAAGTGGTGTGAAGTTCCAGTAAGTCGGCGACGGTGTTTGTGGTTTATGATCGGGTCGGCGACCTTGCCTCTTATGGTCCCGATCTGATCTTTCTGATTTCCGCTCCTCGGCGTCTCTCCTCTTTTTGTCGGGCCTTTCTTCCTTGTCCCACACTTGTGCCTGTGCTTCTTCCGCATTAATATATTTCTGGGCATGAGTCATTAGGTCAACTAGTGTATACGGGAGGTGCTTGGAGATGGAGAAGTTGAATGGTGAGGGGTGGAGTCCATGTCGGATGGAGAAGTTGAACCTCGCCAGGTAGTCTTTGAGAGATTCATTTTTCCTCTATCGCACCTGCATGAGCTAGCTGAGGTTTTCCATTGCTTCTGGCTTGTTGTAAACTGTGCCCGGAACTGGGTCTCCAGCTGACTCCATGATGCTATGGAGCACGGGGGGAGTGAGGAGTACTAGGTCAGGGTTGGGCCCTTGAGTGTGGCCATGAGAGTCTTGCACATCAGACCCTCAGAAGATCTGTGCAGCATCAATTAAGCCTTTAGGGCCTCGACGTGGTCGGTAGGGTCAGTGTTCCCATCGTATTTTTTGTGCTAGGGTGCCCACCATCCTGTGGGAGTTACCTCGTCCACAATTTCTTGGATGGACAGTGGTTCTCGAACAAGTTGAGCAATGGGTTGCACGAGCTGGTCTACGGCCAGCGCCGTGCTCCTCTGAACTTGACTGTGCTCCAACTCCTCTTGACATTGTTGGAGTTCCCGGATTTCGGCATCCCTATGGTCCGAAGCCGTGGTATGTGTTGCCCTTTCTTTCTTAGGGCGCGTAGGGCAGTCCTTCACAGAGTTGGATTCGGCAACAGAGACCACGCGAGGCGGTGTCCGTCTATTGAGCCTTTCTTTGGCGAGGATCTGCATGGTTTGGTGTGTCCTGTTGTGGCTGTCAGGCTCGCAACAGTGGACGGAGGGGGCAGACTTTCTTGCTGTCTTGCCTTTCTTGATTGGACCGCGCTGCCCCTTGTCAGCCCGGTGCACTTTGAGGTCCTCGAGGCGAGGATCATCCTTCGTGCGCATCGGGGTGGGAGGCGGGATGGTTCTGTTGGGCGGTGACGCGGATCCTAGGTTCTGCATCATCTCGAAGATCTTGTCGACCTTATCTTGCATCGCTTGGAATTGCGCGGGATCGATCGTGGTTGGGTTTTGTTGAGTTTCTTGGTGTAGAGAATTGTGGCGACAAGATTCTCGAGATGAGGATCGGCCTATTGATCACTCAGAATGGTTTCTCGGCATCTTGATCGCTTCCTTGATTGCGTAGTGAGAGAGATTTCGGGAAGGCTTTTTGTGTGTATCCTACATATGGTGCCAATCTAGTGCTGCTTAATCCAAGGTGGTGCACGAATTGAGGAGAGCAACCAAATCATCCTTGCCAACAGGGCGATGCCGAGCTACAAGGACGAGGCCGCACTTCAAGACCTATGATCAAGAAAGGAGAAGTCAGAGGCCCGAGGAGTTATCCCTGGGTAGGCACTCTGATGCTCAAGTTAGTAGGAGGTAGCAGAAGGCTAGGCCGAGATAGGAGAGTGCTGGGCTGAGCAAAGAGGAAGTACGTGTGTTAGAAGTCAGAATCCCTTACCTTGAGCATGGAGTATCTCTTTATAGCCAAAGGTTCGTGTCCTGGTCGGATTAGGCTTCCAGGGTTGTTGGGATGAGGTTGGCCACCGAGGTATTTGGGATAGAGTCCTATTCCCCGACGGAGTTGTCTTCCTTACTCCTCCTTATTTGTAGTTATGCTCATTCGCATGACATGCAACTGACGTGGTTGAGAGGATAAGATGGGGTGTCATAGTAATAGCGTAGCCCGACCCAGGTCGTAGAGGCCATGTATGCTGCGGAGCTGGCCGAGCTATGCCGACGTGGCTGGGCTGACTGGGCGGCCACATGTCTATTAGGACCAGCTCAGCCATGGCCCGAACAATTTCCATTTTTGTTAGACTAGTGTTGTTTTCTTTGTACCCAAAGTCTGCCTTTGGTTTAAAGGGAAAGGTAGAAAAAGGTAGGGAACTTGTACAATTACAAAGGCTGCATTTGGAAACGATGCAAATGGAGTGTAAATCTCGATTCGGGTAAATTTGCACTCTGGTTCACTTTTAACTATATTTGGCAACACTACATCTATGCATTAACAAATGACAGACCAATGCATATTTACATTGATAATAAGATATAAAAATACATCAATAAAAAAGAAGTAAATTTGCATTCAAGTTAGCTTTTGATAAAAAAAACATATGCTTTATTGGAATTCATATTTGCATCCATTATAGCTAAAAGTCTCTTTGGTAAGAAGGTAAATTTATTGGTGCAAAACTAACCCAATTTTACAATTTATATGAACCATTTTACACTACATATTTGCATTCACACTTATTTGCACCGTTTCCAAATGCACCCAAATTAATTAATTTGTATACATTTTTTTACCTTTATCAAATCAAAATATATCGTGCATTCTATGAAATCTCAATATATATATATATATATATATATATATTATATCCTAAAAGCAAAAGGATGTATGGTCGATTTACCTCTATTTGGCTACATAAAATGGAATCTATACGATCTAACGTAAGCCAATTTAATTGCAGCAAATATTAATTAAATTGGAAATAATAGTTGTAGTGGTTGAACTCGAACATAAATCATGTTACATCATTCTCTCCAAGAAATTCAATTTATGGAACCAAATTGCAACTGGATTTTCATGTTATTGTGTGTGTGTGTCTTGACTCTCTCTTCTCTCTCTCTCTCTCTATGTAGACATGTTGTAGTCGTCTTAATTAATTTAGTTTTGGGTCAAGCCAAGGTCGAAAGGTGTTGTAGTGCCTGGCAACCATTTATCTCCTTCAAGGAAAGGACCAGCTGTAAACTGAAGAGCCTCCCTTTTGTTGGTAATGACCTTGAAACCCTTCCAGTTGACCCTCTTGCCTGTGGCTGCACCAGGTCCCCGGTTCCCATACTCAGCGTAGAACAATGTGTCGAGTGCAAAATCTCCTGACCATGGCATCCACCCTTCAGGTTGGATTAAATCACCAATGGTGGATTCCATGATCACCGTCCTCGAGTATTCCTTCCATGGGCGCCCCAAGTATGAGCGGATCTTGAACCTCTGTGGGAAGAGCTTCTCCTCAGGCACAATCCGGCAATTTTGGATGACCAGACCAGTGCGTTCACCCTTATCCTTCCTCCCGTGAGCAGTCACCGTGTTTTGCTGGTTGTCCATGGGTTTCCTGACTATAATCAGAGAGTTTTGGATCACCGTCGACGAGTCGCCGAATATGAAGTCGATGGTGCCGGTAATGACACAGTTTCTGTAGAACTGACGATGTGTCTGAACATACAGCGTGTCTTGGTACCCGTCCATCCTACAGTTGAAAAAGGCCGACATATCAGACTGGACGCGAAGTGCCACGGCTTGGTGCCCTTCGGGACCGGCTGTGTTCTGGAATCCAATCGACTTGGCGATGAATCCTTTTCCAATAGCAGCTACAATATGATATGAAATTAGTTAAGTTAATTAATGCTCCATGGGAACCGCCGGAATTAAAGAGTTATCTGATCAGATCGATGTACGCATGATGAGATGGATCGATGAAATCAATATATATATTCATTAATCCAACTTACTGAAGGAGGCAGTCTGGAAGGTGGGGACGCCTTGACGATTGTTCTTTCTACCAGTGATGATCGTCTTCGTTGGTCCATCTCCATACATGAAAACGTTAACCTGTTCCTTGGTGACAGTGATGTATTCTTCGTAGACACCGGCTTTCACGTAGATAACGTACCTTCCATTGTTTTTCTTTGGGTATGCAGCAAGGGCTGCGGCTATGGTCTTGAACTGGCCACTACCATCCTTGGCCACCACTGCATTAGGCGTCAGCCTTCCATTATCCTGCGACGCCAGAAGCTTCCGGTCCGCCGATGAAAACCAAGTGGGGTACCCATTCACGTTGAGAAGTCGCCGGTTGGTTTTCGTGCCGTCCAAATGGACATCGAGGGCTTTGAGTATCTTAGCGACCTCGGAGACGATGGCGAGGGCATTGCTCGTGAGCTGGGTGGCATTGAGGAGCCCATTATTCATTGCAGTCTTCAACTCCGGGTTCTCTATTCCATCCAGGCATGTCTCTTGGTACGAGACAACAGCGCTCAACCAGTTCTTGAGCTCAGCAACACGGTCATCGACGGGGTGCATTTCAGGATTACCCACCATTGAGAATGAAGCATCCAGCTCATCAACGGCGAATTGCAACAAGTCCTGACAATCCTCGATGCTCATACGATCGTAAGAGCTGGTTGTGGCCATCCCAATTACGCCAGACATTTCTAAGGCCTTCTTCACCTCTATGGTTGTGGCCTTAATGGCGGCCCTGAGGTAGTCATTTGGCTCTGCGCTTGCATTGTTGGCGACCGGGCTAAGGCTATTAAGACAGTTATCCTTATAACTGGTAGAGTCGCAGAGGGAGTTAACGAATTTCATCTTGGGCGACAGGCTACCGTTGCCCTCAGAACCGGTGTCATCGTTGGGCTGACCAATGCGGCTTATACCAATAACGGCACCAATGACAACACCGACGACGATGATGACAGAAATACCGGCAACAGCCGCCTTGGCCATTAATTTCTCTCTCTCTCTCTCCCCAATCCTCTTCCGCACCAGAAGAGGCGGGGCGGGGATTGAGAGAGATTATTAGAAATGAAGAGAGAGAGAGAGAGAGGATGATCCTCTGCTACCTCAAGCTCAAAGGATGAAGGAGATAGAGGGACGTGGGTGGAGGCATTTATAGGACAAGGCTGTTCCATATTTAGAGCAACTACTAGTCTACTACTACTAACCATTCCATCCCCATTCCCCAAATGAAATGATGGGCGCTAAATTCAAGTCCATCCCCAATTCTCCTAACGGTTCTCCAACAAGAACTCGTCGTAAACCGTAATTAATCACTATTTCGATCGATGCGGATGGATATTCTGGTCTGTCAATGGATAGGATCTGACCCGATGTTCTCGAATGAATTGGGTCAGTTTTGGTTTTATATTTACTACTAAACATAGTGCATGTGGCAATATATCTGAGACAAAATTATTTATAATTCATGTTTCTGAATACTTATAATTGGTCAGTTCTGAAAGTGGACAGGTTTTTAAGTGAGACATACTTTATGCCAAAGGGGCATTCGCTCTTTTATAGTTAGTATGGATAAATATTGGTTTGGAAACGGTTCTACCCAATTCCAAATCGATTTAGACCAAATCCAAATTATGTGTATATAAAAAGGATGAATAACCTTAAGAATATTTTTGAAATTTTCTAACGACAAAATTCATCCCTTTATATTTACATTTATCGATAAAAAATAAGACAAATAAGGTAATTTTTTATTGATATTAAATGAATTGAAAATAGGTAATTTTAAGATATTCAATGCATTCAATTTCTTCTCATTAAATCCAACATTTAAAAGTATAACTTATACTTTTAAAATCTATCTAGAAAAAATAGTGTTTTCATGTAGGTGGTGGTAAGAAATTAAACCATTTTGGGTCAAATGGGTCAATCCATGTTGTCACAATTAAATAATAAAGTTCAATATTAGATAAAATGCAAAAAAAAAGGAAACATTTTTAACATCATATGTCCGGCATATTAAACAATAATAAGTATGAAAAGTAATAAATATTTTTATTAATGATGGAAATGAAATGTAAAATTTAAAACCAATTGGAAATAAATTATTTTCCTATTCTCTCTAATTAAATCTCATATCTAAGGTATATATTCTCTCATTAAATCCTATATTTAAGATATATTTTTCTTATCATTAAATTCTACTAATTTAATTTATAATATTAATTTTAATAGTGTAAAAATAAATATTTTGAAAAGTAATTTGGAAACAAAACTATTTTCCTCCCTCCTAGTGGTGGGTAAATAATTCAAGTATTCAACAATTTGGGGTCAAATGGGATAATAAATAATGCCATAATTAAATAATAAAATAAATAAAATATATAATACAAAAAAATAATTTGGCATATCTCTAATATTGTATATTCATTATATTAAACAAAAATAAGTAATTATTTATATATATATATATATTATGCCAAACAAAAATCAAGTATGATGATAAGTAATTATTTATATAATATAGATGAAATATATAATTTAAAAAGTGACTAGAAAGCAAAATGGGATAATAAATATTTAAAAAAAGATAGAACACACAAAATGAAAAAGTATAGAATTTTGTCAAAACATTTGGGAAATGGATTACAAAAATTTAATAATAATAATAACTATGTTTGTAATTTAAAATTTCCACGTGCAAATGCACGTGCTTATTAATTACTAATATATATTAGTGGTGGCAATTGGGCGGGTTAGGTTGGGTTTGGTTTGGGTTGAGCTTCAACCCAACCCATCTAACCCGCCAACCCATTAATGACCCAGTTATATGAAATTAAATGGGTTGGGTTCAATCCAAACCCACTTTAACCCAATCCAACCCACTCAAACCCATTAATCTTGTGTTTATGTATTTAAAACAAAAAATAACTCCTTAACAAATAAGTTGGTCATAGCTTGGTGGTAATAGTAGTTGTTATTTACACAAGTTGTGAATGTTTGAATCACGTTACATGCATGTTATTTTTACACAAGCGGCAAAGCCATTTAACTATGCTCGGGTTTGACCGGGCCACTTAGGTTCACACCGGTCAGACCAACTTGAACTATCTAATTGGATTGTCTTCGAGCTAATCACATCAAGAGTTGTTGAATCGTTTAGATCCGGATCAGTACGATTGGACCAATTCAGTCAATGATGGATTGACTTGGACCGACCCATATTAGGTTTGTGCACGGGTTTGGGCCGAACTGATTGGCCCAAAGCGGATCGAGAGAAGTAAATTGGATCGAACCGAATTCGAGTGGGTTGCACAAATACGAGCCAGTCCGGACTATCCAACCCGAGCAAAGCAAATTGAGACGAATTTTGAGTCGGGTCAGACCGGGCCTGGGACTGAACCACCTATCGGTCCCATATTGGGTTTGGGTCGACCCGCATTGGTCCACCATGGGTCAGGTCGGGTTCAGATGTGTCCGACCGGCCCAAGCAAACCAAACTGAGGTGATCGGGTTTGTTCATATTTAGACCAAGTTGAGTTGGTCCGGACATGGATCAAGTTGATTTGGATTTATGTCGATTAGGGTGAAGTGTGTTGATTTGAGGCAAAACTAATTTTAATCAATAATTAATGCATTAATTATAAATTATTTCATTCAAATGAAAAAAATTAAAAAAAAACTAAGGAATTAATACTTATATCTTTAGTGGTTAACCCAATGGTTATCCACAACCTAAGCCAAGCCAACCCATTTAAATTGACCCAATGAGTGATCAACCCATTTCCAACCCGCCAAGTAAATGAACAGGTTGGGTGGGTTAGATACCGAGTGGGTTGGGTGGGTTCAGCGGGTTGGTTGAAAAATTGCCACCCCTAGTATATATATAATATTTTCAGCATATTTATTATAATCGGGTCAATTGTGTTAGACCCTAATTGTCTCAAAAAATGATCGATTTGGTTATGAGTCTAAAAGGGTCTGATTCAGTTTTAGGACATTGATATTTTCGATTTCCAGTTCTACCATGTCTCAACCCAGACGGACCCATTGATAAGCCTAATTGTGTGGGTTTGAATTTTTCATGGAATCCATAACATACAACTTGTTACCAATCAACTAGGTATTAACCAAAATTCGGGAGGGTTTTGATCGATTGGTCAAAGTTTTTAGGATATATACCATACAAATGAATTCACGACAGGCCCCCTTTTCAACTAGACAACTAGTAATATGCATCTTCATTCTTCTTAATATAAAATATTTTTATTAAAAATAAAGAAAAATGAAATCCTCCTTCCTCTTCTTACTCCTTCCCTTGCTCTTCCATCTTTCTCCTCACCCTCCTCTTAAGGAGGTTTATACCTCTTGCATTCTAAACGATGCCTCACGACTCTAGGTAATGGAACACCTCACGTCACACCTTTGTGTTTTATAACATTGGTTAGGAGAATTAGAGTTCAGACACATGGCTGGGGCCAACTGCCAACATACATACAATTTAACAGAAGTCGCATATGAATTAGGTGGACTCCATAAAAAAGAGCACATACACATGCATCTAATCATCAAAATTAAGCCATGCATATCATGCATATAGATTGAAGTGTACATTAAAGAGTTAAGATGCCCATTTCCAATATCTCAATACTTCCCCTACTGATAATTATAAATTCCCTAGACTGCAGACAACCAAAATCATCTTGATCAATTTAGGAGTTGGAGGACCCCAAGCAACAGAAGAGGTGTGCCTCATTTATGAGGAAGCCACAAGTTGCCAAATTCTGAGGATATCATCAGTCGTGAGAAGTGCAAATGCTTCCAATATTGGGTCTTTTCTTTAATTAATATGGTGTTTCTCCCTTTCCAAATGCACCACAATGTCCCTATTCTGGTGCATCTCCACAAACGCTTTCCTTTTCCCTTTGTCAGTAAGCAAGTAGGGAAATTAAAAAAGCTTTTTATGCCCAACCTGCATCTAAATAGAGAGAAAAGAAACTACCAAATACATGCTGCAAAATTAAAATAGATTAGCAAATGAAAAGATTTTTCATCACTTGCTCTATAAAGAAAACACGCATGGGTTGAAAGAAATTTTTTTGAAAGTAAAATGAAAAAAATATTAAAGAAAAAAAAGAAGATTACAGGAAGGTGACCAGAAATCACTCGAGAGAAGAAAAGAAATATTCTTCACCACCAAAATCCAAACTCAACAACCAAAACTCACACACCGACGTAGCACCACACAAAAACTTAACTAATTATGAAGCTTCTTCAGAAGTAAGAACAGAAAACCCAATGCTTCGCTTAAAAAACTTTTTGTTTTTTTCACCTTTTTATTAGGCCCAACCACAAGCAGTCCTTTCAACCTTGTGAAATCTTTTGGAAACTGAGTCACCCTATGTTTTTTACAGCTTCTGAATCACCTAGCAGCATTTGGAACTTCTTACAGTACCAATAGAGCCTTTTTCTGTGAAGCATTTCAAAGGAGTAATTGATTCCATCAAGATAGACCTTCCAACAAAAGGATCTGATCTTGGAAGGAACTAGGCATACCCAAATAGATTTATTAGGATAAACTAGCTGAGTAGAGGAACCAAAGGTAAGGGATTTAAACAAGTGGAAGAATAACGGGGTTTGGGGTCCAAATCCTGCAGTCATGAGAGAATTATCAAGGAACGTATCTTTGTATGACTCAGAGAATTGAGGGTAGTTGGGACTTCAGAGTCTCTTAGACATCATTTAAGCCTTGAAATCTCAAACTAACCCTATTTCTAAGAAGGTTACATACTTGGAAACAAGGCTATCTTTGTGGAGGTGAGAGAGTAGAGAGGTGGAAATTTGTCTTTCTAAATCTTAATTTTGCCACCTGATGAGACATTGTATCTAATTAGGAGATCTTCATAATAACAAAACCAGGTATCTGCATTTGATTTGATGCACATATTTCCTTCATTATAAACCAAGACTCCTTTTAATTTTCAAAAAAGAATAAAATCTAGAAGTAAAAGTAAAAACTCTTTTTAGTACAATAAAACATCCCCACCAATCTAATTGAGATGCAATTATAATGCTCAAACCTAGTTGGTCTATGAACTGTTTGACAACAGTTACAAAACTCAATGGTGTCTAATCCTTGATCTCTTGCATCAATTGTTAGAAAGCAAGATAAAGGGGAACCATGTAATATACCTAAACCGCCATCTTCATGATCAAAAGAAATAATTATGAATCTATGACTGAAACCAGCAAATGCATAAGAAAAGTGGGGCTGAAAAAGACAATATGAGGAAATGGCACACAATTCCCTACCCTTACTAGATGCATAATGAAATTACATGAAGCTCAAATTTCATTTTTATGTAGCAAAAGAAGGGAAAGGAATGTATTATAATCTGGTGTTGGTTTTTCTCTCTTTTTGGTGGCAGGTGGACCCCTCCCCCAAATGTTCAAAGCCTATTTCATTCTACTACTGTTAGGGGGCTGAAGAAGAGAGGGAAAATTCTGTGGAGGTGTGTAAGAGCAGCTGTATGTTGGACAGTCTGGGTGGAAAGGAATCAACGGACCTTTCATGGGAAAGAAAGAAATAAGGGTGTAATCATTGAACTGATTTCTATAAGGGTGATCCATTGGGTTAAAACTTTGCTAACTTTTAAAAATTATTCGGAAGGAGACATCATCAGGAAGTGGAAAGAAATGGCTTGGTCAGCTCCATGAAAGAATGTATCCCACCCAATTTGGTCCCCTCCAGTTTCAGGTTTCACTAAACTAAACTTTGATGGTAGTAGTGAAGGAAATCCAGGTCTGTCGGGTATAAGGGGAGCCTTCAGAGATGATGAAGGTCGAATTATTGCATTGTATTCTGGTTCTATTGGATGGGGTGGACTCTCTTAGAGCTGAAATATTGGCTGTCTTGGAAGGGTTAAAAAGAGCGCAAGAGTTAAATATCAGAAAATTGATAGTGGAAGGTGACTCTAAGTTGGCTATAAATTCGTTGATGAGGGATATTTCTAGTCTGTGGAAGTTTCTGAATGAAAAAAAGAAAGTTAGACATCTCACCCAAAATATGAAAGTCAAGTTTCAGTGGATAAAGAGGTGCGCCAACTCCTTGGCAGATTCATTGGCCAAACAAGGGATGGGAAGAGTTAATTTCTTCTGAGCAACATTGTAATCTGAATTGCTTTCTTGGGAGGGTTACGAATTTTTACCCCTCCTTTTGTACCTTTTCTATTATTATCTTTTAATAAAAGTCTCTGTTATTTATCAAAAAAAAAGGAAAGTATTATAAACCAACATAAATAAAGTAACGGTTAGTATATATCTATATACAAAGAACATCTATCCAATTGACATAAATACCTCCGCAGAAAGGTTATACTGGCTAGATTAGATCTCCACTATATTCACACCCTAGATTAAGTCATGAGAAAATAAATATTAAAGCCACTTCATTTAATTATTTTCTATAAATACTTTAAAAGTAGAATAAACCAACACAAAATGAAGGTGAATAAATCTCTATATAGCCAGTTTCAGTAACAATCCATAAAGGAAAGAAACAAGGGGTGCCAATACTTAGAATTAATTCCTTTATCTTCAAAGAGAAACCAGGATAGGTCCATCCTATATGTAAACCAAAGTTTGAACTATCAATTGCTAAGTATACAGGTTGGTTGTAAGTGGGACCAGAACTTCCGAAACAGTGTCTTCAAATTTCTTGACTGCTTTGAAGCAAAAAAGGAAGAGAGGGAAAAGAAATACAATAGTTGGATACAGAATCCTGTACATTGGTGACAACAAGGTTTTTGCTACTTGTCAAATCATGGTCCATAATAAGTATATCATCATCATCCAAGCCTTAACCCAACTATATGAGGTCCACAATAAGTATATATCTCCAACAAACCAAAAAAGGCTGTTAGTAATAAACTAAAAGAATAGGTTTTTAATACCATGCCCTTCATTTATTGGAAGAAAGAAACAAAAAAAAAAAAGAAAAAAAACCATAGTTTCTAAGCAATAAATAACAACAAGTGCAACAACTGGAAAGAACTACAGAAGATTCGCAGTGTTAACCTGGTATATATTGACATAATCAAGTTAATTAGTGCTTGAATAGAAAACTACTTGACAATTGCAAAATGAAAATAATAGAAAATTATGTAAAACTTTCTTAATGACATGAAGCTGTGCAAATTAACTGCTATCTACTCTGCATGCATAAGACATTTTTATGCCTTCAACAATGTTATGAAGAATGTTCTTGGTTTGTATGCCTGCATTGTTCAGGAAGAATATGCTAATATCAAGCATAGTGGCTCAGTTGGGAAGCTCTTTAAACTTTAAATAGATCCCCTCATTACTGTCTTTATCAACAACAGAATCTTAATATTTATGAGAATCATAAGAAGAAGACGTTTTTCTTGCAAAGCAAGTATCCTACAAAAATATAATTACAAAATATTTTCCATTTAATTCCATTGTTGACATTTTTTGTGGTGGGTGTGGAGGAAAGACTGTGGATCAAAGATTGGGCCCAAGATATGGGCTTGCAAGAAGAGAAGCTCACTTTAGATTTGGGGTACATGAATGCTAAAGGAGCCATGCGGATATAGGCCTCAGCCACATGGGGCCCACTTTTGTTGCATCAATGACAAAATTAAAGCTTAGGAATTGAGACCAGCATTGTAATAATAAATTAATTGCTTCTTAAACTACAGAAACTTGGCAATTTATTGGATGCAAAAATTGACAGTCATTTCAGTTTTCTTTTTCTGGTTTTCTCCCATTGTTGCATTAGTTCCTTTTATACCAGAATTATAAATAGTACTGTATTACTCTTTTTTTTTTGCCATAATATGCTGGACACAGCAGTCTCACTCGGATCATGGGTTTAATATTTGATTAAAAAAATAGAGTACTTTGAAGATATGGACTTCTAATTAATTCTGACTACTGGGGGTAAAATGCATACATAACTTGATTGCAACTTCCAGCTTAAAAAGAAAATGAGATAAGGGGATTCATTTGTTATTTACTGTTATGGAGAGATTAAAAGAGAGAATTGACACACTACATAGCAACCATCTATTTTGAACAGAAATTCTAGTTGGATGTTCCACCAATAAAAATTGTCATGCTCAAGCTTTCCAATTGGGATCCAAGCATATGAAAACCAAAAATAAAAGAAAAAAAAGGAAAAATTCATGTTTAATCATGGATAAAGAAATAAAATAAAGAAACCAAAAACAAAAAATAGTGAAAGAAGAAGATAGATAAATAGAAAATGGGAATAAATAGCTCAGCTAACGTGATCACCATTGAACAGCAGGACTTGCACTATCCTGGTTTTGGACTGAGACGATAAGAAACTCATAAGGGGAGAAAAACCAAAAGTCACAATGGATGAATGAATGGAAAAGCCTGAGAGGGGGGAGTTTGGCTTCGGTCAGTGCAATGACCGTTCAAACAGCCTTTACAGCCTTGCATTGGGAATACCTCCATATTTATGTGCTTTATTTCATGGGGAGATATTCCCAATGTAAGGTTGCAAGAGGCTGTTCAAACGGTGTGAGCATGGACTTGCACTGGATGAAGCCAGTCTCGAGAAGAGGGGGGAGCGCTAATAGTCTCAAATAGAAAAATTTCCATTAAGAAGCAAAATACAACTAACATCTGATCCCCAATCCCAAAATAGAATTAACTACCACTAAAATCATGAAACCAACTCCTTTATGCATATGGGCCAAAAATTTAGGTCTGGATCCACCCCATCCTCCCACATAAACTTGTTTAGACTTGTCTCAAGGGACCTTTGCAAGGACAGATGGCTGATCTCTTAGGGTTGGGAATTCAAGATGTATAACATTACACTAGCTACTTAAAGTAATGAACTAGGAGGTAATATAAATAGACTGGAAATTTCAACATGCTTGAATAGTTGAGTGTTTGAAGCACTTTGGTATGATCCACATTTGTTTTCTTTAACTTCATTTTCACTTTGAATATGTTTTGTATGTAATGCTTGTGTTTAACATTTAATATCTTTTAAAATTCAAGTTTGCATTTTTGTTTTTTAATTCTTTTTCAAAGATTTGTGCCCTGCTTTGAAAAGACGTGTACCTAGATTTGCACCTAGCTACATTTTTGACGTTCAAGCCAATCTTATCAGCAATATATTGTTTGAACTTCCAATCTAAATTTTAGTGTAGGAAATTGTGGTAGCTGATCCGGGAGTGTTCAAATTGTGCAATGCCATAAAGTCCAATGCTTCAGGAAGGAAATGTAAAAGAGTAACAGACTCAATATAAAGATAATAAGGATAGATAATGCTGTGGAATGTTCATAGCATACAACTAAGAGAAATATGAATTGATGCAAAGTGAAGAACCTTCAAAGAATTCTAAACTTTATGAGTAAAAATTAAAAGACCCATGACTCCGAAGAGCCACGGATCATTCCTTTTCTCAGATTACCCCATGACTACTGTCAAAAAGAAAAAGAAAAGGAAAGTGGGACTTGATAGCTGTTGAAACCTCAGAATCTCTCCAAGGTATATATCATTAATTACTTATAACCATCATGTAACAATGGAGAAATGCGGCATTGCAGCACAATACAGAAAATAATGGTAGAATAAATTTATGAGATGCTACCTTTTGAGAATTCACAAAGACATCCTAGGTGTTGTAGCTTAAGCTATCAAGAACAAACTTATCATGGTATTATTGGCATAACAAATAGGCATTAAAATTTGATTTGCCACAACTACTATCAGGGCCACAAAAGTCAGAGTCAAACCCTGCATTCCACAAAATTTTGATGGAGCATGATGAAATGGTTCATTCCGCATCTTCCAATATTGCCAAGATAAGAAGTTAATTATTCAACCAATTAGAGAAGCAACTACACCTACTCTTTAAGTGTGATTTTTTTTTCTTTACAATTTCTCCAATCCCTCAGCCAATATGTTGCTAACCTTGTCCTGCAAGATGAAATCATGACATGCTCTTAATTCTGTTTCAGTTTCTTCTCTAGCAATAGTTCCAACTAGAAATCCATGAGTAAAAATGTCTGGAACCCACCCATTTTCCAACATCCGATCCAATAAATTACAGGCTTTATGCTTATGACCCTCCTTCCAGAGTCCATTGATCACCATGTTGTACATTGTAGAACTAAAAACACCACCCTTGTGAACAAGTTTATCCAATGAGTTTGCAATCATATGCAACTTAGAATAACGGGACAAACAAGACAGCAGACTATCTAGAGTTTCTGAGTCAGGAACTATACAATCACCAATCATTTGATTGAATAAAATAGCACAATCATTTGCTCTGCTCTGTATGCACATGCCTTGTATTAGGACATCATATGCTTTGGCATCAAAAACACAACCCTCCACCAACATCTGAGCTAGTAGCACAGAGACATTGTTTGCTTTCCCTGAATTGCACAAGCAGAGCATAATAGTGGTGTAGGTGACAGGACTACAAAAAGTGCCTGAATGATAGACCAACGATCGTAGCCTGATTGCTTCAGTCACCTTCCCAGTTAAACATAAGGCCTCAATCAACATATTGAATGAGGAAGATCTGAGAGGAAATTCATTAGTAGACATATAATGAAACACTTCAGCAGCCTCTTGGATCTTCTTTATGTGGCAAAGACCTTCAATCAGCTCACCGTAAGAGGTAGAATCTAATGCCCAATATTTGCCACGAACCTGACTAAATAGTTCTAGAGCATCCTCATACTTTCTCACTTTACAATGGCCAACAATAAGAGCAGAGGAAATGGCAACATTGAGGGAATATGAAGAAACAATCATTCTAGCTATGACTTCAAAAGATTTTCTGAGCCGTCCCTTTTCACAGAGACCTCTTATGAGAATGCTCCAGGAAAAACTATTAGCTATACTCCTCTCAACCATTTTCTCAAGTAAAGCACTGGCTTCAGTAAATTTTCCAGCATCGCAGTAACATTGCAGCAAAGCATTATGAGGATAAGTTTCACAGACATACTTCTCTAATAAGTTTTTAGCTTTACTGAATTTATCTGCCTTGCAAAGTCCACTTACAATATCCACATACACATCAGAAGGTGGAGTTAAACCAGATTCTATCATATCTTCAAGAACCTCAATTGCATCCTTCAACTGTATATTCTTGCACAAACACTGAACCAAACATCCACAAACTAACAGTTCAGGCACAAGATCAGAAATTCTCATAATTCTAAACAACCTTAGCCCCTGGTCCACTCTATTAGCCCTACAGAAAATAGGTATGATGCTATTACAGAAATGCTCCTCCCCTCTACAACCTAGCTCAAACATCTCATCCAAAACCACAATTGATTCATCAACTCGGTTTTGCACACAAAGACCTCTTACTATTATCTCAAATGTCCTACTATTAGGTTTACAACCTTTCTTGTTCATTCTTCTGAATTGATCCAAAGCAGTGCTAATTCGACCATCTTTACACAAAGCCTCTAACAGATAATTCAAGGTCTCAACATTGGGAATATTTCCTGCTTTAACCATCTCCTTATAAAAAAACAGAACAGATTGAAAGTCTCTATTGTCCTCGACAATAGCACCCAACAAAAGATTATATACAACAATTGAAGGCCTACAGTTACCCCTATTCATGATCTGGAGAACCTGCAAAGCTTCTGTGAGCCTGTTATTTCTAACCAATGAATGAATTACACTTGAGAATGCTTCATCTGCATGATGGCATTTGACGTTGACCATCTCATAACAAAAGTCCTCCATTTCATGAACCCTTCCAGCCATACCAAGCTTTAGTATAATCTGACTATACGTTTCAGCGGTGTGACGAAAGCATTTTTGAAGAGAAGCCCACTTGAATACCTTGACTGCGGAGCTCAAATCTCTTGTAGACTCCAAAGCTTTGATTAAGTTATCTGGGCATAAAGCATTCTTTAAGAAACGAACTGCCGATTCACATTCAATCGAGTAAAATGGTTTGTGATCATTTTCGAGAGGAATTTGAGCGTTGGTTACGCATGAAACCGAAGAAAAGGATGAAATTAGAGAAGCCCATCTCGGTATTGGCTTGGCAATGATGAAAGACGGGAGCTTAGTAGCCATTGAAACAGAAAACTACAAAACAGAAAAACGACAAGGGAGGGAAATATAAGTTTCTAACCTGGTTGAACTTGATATGATTTAGCAGAACATAAACAAGAAATATCCTTTATAGAGTCTGCCTTGTTCCGTTGTTCGTTGTTTCCAGTCTCTACTTAGTTCTACTCTGTGAAATAAGCTGAGAGCTCTGAAGACTTTTGTCTCGCCGATCATGTTCATTGTTTATCAGCTTGCCTAACGATAGACATAATATAAAGCATTGTGATCTAGGCCGTCCAAGTAGCGTACTAAGGTCAAACAGTTCATCCGGGCCTTCAAAAATATGTGTTTTATTAAATATGGTTGAATGTGGAGAAAGATTGAATGACCCGAAGAAAATCCGGAGATGAAGGGGGACGAAGCGAGGAAGTTGCTGGGACTTCCACCGAATTCTCGTCCGACTCCATCGCAGGTACCGAAAACCAAATATATCTTTTTGGAATTTCATTATAATTTCTCTCAAATGTATAAGAGAAAACAGAGCTTGGACTTGCATTTTATTTTTATCTAATTTGGGTGAATTTTGTCTACTTTAGATGATAAGTTTGCGGCATCGTAATTGGTTCCTGGAAGGATTGTAATTTATTGCTTTGTTTCTTTGGGTTATGGCTTCTCAGTGATTACGATTAGGTTCTGTAGCAGTAAGGTTTTAATATAGTGGCTCCTATCGTAGGAAATAACTGCTACTCCAAATTTCTGCTCCTCCCATTCACTCAATTTCAAGTTACTCTAGCAAGAAATGCTCGCTCTGCCTTGGGTTTTGTGATGGACCCAATTCTAAGTAACTTATTGCAAAGGTGATACCAATTATAGATGTTTTATTCGGTAGTTAATACTCAGCACTTCTAGAAATCAGATTCTCTGTGGAATATCTTTGCGTTATGGGTAGTGTATTCTTGGCCTCACTGTTTTCATCTCTAGTAGTGGTACATCATCAATGACAAGGTGTAGAAATTTTTTCTGAGAGATTTTCAAGGGCCAACTGTTGTGGAATTGATATGTAATCCAAGAAGAAGAAGCTTTCCAGTGCTATCTGGTTGTTCATATTGGTTTTCCTGGATATCCAAGAGGTGTCTTCATGGATCTTGTTTGCTCTCAAGTTTGTCAACTTATATGACGCACTGTTTGTTCAGATAAGAGTTGGTGATATGTACTGGCGTACTGTACTCCCCTTTTTTGCCCATGTCTTCTTCCAAAAGTTATTGATGAATTTATGAAAAAGTAGGTAATGGATTCCATGTTTGAATTTGAGATGATATAGTGTACAAGCATGTCATAGGCCTTCAAGCTCGAGCTAAACTAAGTTGTTTATAGAAAATGCATGGAGAGAGAGAGGGAGGGAGGGAGGGAGTTCTGTATACAATCTCCATGCTCAGCTTTTATTCCTCAGCCAATTGATACATATGACATTGTTTCAAGTCATCATCTTGATTTAGGTGTTGCCAAAACAGTGGAATTGGTTTCTTATAGCCAAGGTATCAAAATCTTATGTGCACAATAAAATCTCCAAAACTAGTATTCATCATATAAACTATTGATGGTTTGTCTGGGTGTTAATACCCTAGTTGCTTCCTGATAAAACACATCCTTTAAAGTATGCACCACTGAATAGAACTTTACATCATTAGTTGGGTAGTGCTTTTTGCATCTTGCTTTCCACTCTTACATATTTATGAACTTGTCATTCCCACTCTTCATCAAGGCAAAGGTGGACTTATTAAATATACAAGCTGCACTGGGCAGATTGGCACCTAGCTTCCACAGTTTCACTACAAGGAAAAAGTAAATTTGTTACGGATTCAACATCATTGCCAGTAGTTTATCTGCTTCTGCATCATAACATAGGGTTATGTAAATTTAGTATCCCTCTCTTGCATAGAAATGTGATATTCTTCACCTATACCCATAAACCTTTCAATTAAGCCAATCATCTCAATGACAAAGTTGAACATCCACCCCCTTTTATAAATTTCACTCACTCTCTCTCTCTCTAAAATTGCAACTTCTCTATAAGAAAGTGAAAAATAAAATAATAAAAAATAGGTGTAGGAATGGAATTCTTTAATGGAACTTTTTAGAGATGTTTAGAGTGATTGGTTGTATGTAGGGATTTAGTGTGTAATTTTACACAGATTAGTATATCCAATCATCTGGTGCCAAACTAACTTGGATGTGCACACTCCAATGAATGCAGAAGAACGATCAGAGGACCATTCAAGAGTATCTGCCCCATCACATTGTCCTTTACAGAGAAAGCCATACAGTTAAAAACAAAGGTAGCACCATGTTCCGTACAGAACTGGCTCACAGAGAACAGGTTCTTAGTCATATGAGGCACACAAAAAATATTACGCAATAGAAAGGAACCATGAGAAGTATGCAACGTGGAGGAGCCAATATGTGAAATAGGAAGTGTGGATCCATTACCCACTGGTGATCTGATCCATACCATTATAGTCATCATGTATAGAAAGAATGCTTGAATCAGAAATGAGATGATTGGTGGCCCCAGAGTCAGGGAACCAAGTTCCATCTTGTGAAGAAGAAAGACATTGCAGCAGTGAAAGCAGAAGCAGACTATTTGTTAGAACCAACAGAGAGAGAGATCTTCAACGTGTAGCAGCTGAATGTCCAATATACCCACATAGTTGACATACAACCAAGGTATCATGATTCCCAGATTGATGGTTGTTGTTATTTGAAGCCATGCCTGGGGTTGTTGGTGCTATTAGTGATGTTTGTTATTGATGCTAGTGTACTGTTGAGAAGTGCATCCAAAATTGTTGTAGGAGAAATTGAAACCAGCACTAGAGTCTTTCTTATGAGTGGCAACATGGGCTGAAGGTGTATTGGCTGAAACAGTGGTATTATGGCGTTCAAGCCACTTTTCAAAATTAAGAAGGCTCTGCACATCTGCAAGAGTCAAGTCATCAAGTTGTTTAGTGACTGTGATGACAAATGTATCATATTCTGCAGAAAAGCCACCAAGAAGATAGTATATCATGTCTGAGTCAGACAAAATAATTTGATGCAGCCAGTGCATCATAAAGAGTCCTTTAAATTTCTGTATATGATCAGTAATGGAGAGATCCCCTTGGTTGACATGGGCAAGTTCTAGTTTCAGATCATGCACCCGAGATTTATTAGAAGAGAAAAGTCAGTTCAGTCTATCCCAGACTGACTTAGAAGTTGTGCAGCCCACAACTTCGGCTAAAAGCCTAAAACTTGTTCTGTTAAAATGGAAAGAATCCAACTAAGGATCAATTGATCCTGTTCTTGCCATGCAGAATAATCTGAGTTGATAATGTTTCCATTTTTACCATCAATAAACTGTGATGGGCAGGGGAGTGACCCATCCACATAGCCAAAAAGTTGGTGTCCTCTAAGAGCAGGAATAACCTGAGCAGTCCAACGATAATTGCTTCTATCAAGGCAAATGGAAATGAGATTCATGAAGTTTGACAAGGGAACCACTGTAATAGTGCAAGCAGATCCATGATTTGAAGATTCTCCCTGAGTTTGTGCTGATGCTCTATTATTTTCAGTAACATCCATGAATGACAACAAGAGCTATACCATTTAAAAGTAAGACATGGAAATTGTAAGAACCAACCTGACTTGCAGTTGGTTAGTTTCTTGTATATATAATCTACTCTGTACAAGATAACTGTGAGCAGTTACAGAAATTTGGAAAACATAAAGAGAAATTACAACAACTATGTACATTTGTCACTGGATCCATTTGGGAAGGTTTGATCCTTTATAGAAAGCACCAAGGATTTTAAAACCGGACCAGACAGGGAACCGTAATTGGGTCCAGTTCCCAGGTTGAATGGCCTGACCGTCTGGTCCGAACGGACGGCCCGCTCTGACAGAAAAATAAAAAAATAAAAAATGGCAAAAACCATTGTCTGGGTCGACGGTTTGACTGCCCGTGTCAATGGTTCTGACCAAATCAACGGTTTTGGCCAAAAAGCAGTTTTGGGGTAAAACGGAACCAGTCAGGTGACCGGTTCCCAGTTTTTCCGGTCTGGTTTTGAAAACCATGGAAAGCACTCTAAACAGGTTTTCCACAACAGGATAAAAAATGCCTTTAATGAGAGAAAATATCAAATTTCCAAAAACTAGGGTTTTACATGGAGTTTTTGGATGATAACTGATAGAAGAAAGGTGGTATAAGCTTATAGGGTCATCCAAATATGAGAGCACATGAATGACACAAAAGGACGAAAAATGGTTGAAAATAATAAACTCAGTCCATTCATTCTTCCACGTTTTTTGCTATAGACTAAGAGGTAGCTAATCCAAATACAATATAAAATACATAATTTCCATTATCATAAGAGTAAGAATGTCTATTCAAGTCTGAGAGCAGTCACTTTGTGCAGAAAAAAAAGTCCAAAGCTTAACTCTGTATCCAGTCCACCCCTCCCAAGACCCTATATAGCTTGGACCACCACTGCGTAATTAGATCATTATCATAATTTGACTCAAAGAAAATTCAATAACTTCTAAGCTACTTAATTGAAGACAACTGAATCATGACTAGACACATCAAGCTCTAAGGCTAGAAAACCGTCATTACAAACATGTACAATGACCGGAATATCCCTACTGTCAAAAGGCAAAACTACAAGAATAGATAAAAAAAATTCAGAGAACTCAATCTTTACCTATTTGCTCTCAAAACATTACATTCATGTCCCTGGTCACAACTATAACTTTTTTTGGAGGATATTTTTTACTCCTTTTATTCCTCTTTTTGCACAATATGCATTTCTTAGGGCAAGACCCTATCATATATTTTTGTTTCAGTTTGAGCTACACCTTCCAATAAAATAAGAATAATGAGATTGCATTGGACACTGCAGGTTAAAGCTGCATACAAAAGGAAAGCATGGGAGTCTCATCCTGATCGATTTCCAGCAAATGAGAAACCTCATGCAGAGTCCAAGTTTAAATTAGTAAGCATTTATAGCTTGCACGAGTTGTTTTTGTTGTTGCTATTATTTTTCCCTTGTTCAATAATTTGGGAATGCATCTATATGTCATGGTTGTGGTGTCAAGTACTAGCAGATTATCCATGGGTTCAGGCCCTTTTTTTCTGTTGAAACTCCGGTGTTTTTATATATATATATTTTTTTTCTATATTCTTAGACAACTATTCATGTATTGGCAAAGTGGTGTACCTCTTCGTGTTTATGAAACTGTTTTTTGCATTATTTTGGGTGTTCTGGTGTACCTCTTGTTCAATAATTTGAGGACATTCTCGCATATCTGGGATGCTGCAATTAAACAGAAAAGATCTAATTTCAACCAGTTGAGGTTGTAATTCCTAACCTGTGTTATATATGTACTGGCAATCTGGGTCTGGGGACACAGGACCTCCATAAGTGTCTGGGGTCCTGTAACTTGCCAACCATCTTTTGTTTTGAGCATAAGAACTTACTGGAAGATGGGTACTACTTAGAAGATCATCCTGGCAAAGTTCAGTTGGTACAGTGTAGAAATTTTTTTCATAGAGTCAAAAAGTAGTTTTACAAATAATGACCAAATTATATAGTTAAAATCTGTAATGGGTACTACTTAGAAGATCATCCTGGCAAAGTTCAGTTGGTACAGTGGAGAAAATTTTTTCAGAGTCAAAAAGTAGTTTTACAAATAATGATCAAATTATATAGTTAAAATCTGTAATATTATCTTACCAAAAAAATCTGTAATGTTAAATTAACTTTTGGTACATCCATATTTTAGTGGGACCTATCCATTGGTCAATTCTGATTATTGAAAGTTAAAAAACATGGGACAGGTGCCAGTTATAAGGGCCCCAGATGGGTAAACTTTTTGATTTCTTATGAAGGGCTACACAACGAGAGGTAGCCCATCCCCTAACCCCTAACCCCTCCCCCCCAACCCAGGTGCAGGCGGGATTCGGTCCCAAGTCTCTGCTATGACCAGCAGGAGACCTTACCAACCAGCTGGTTGGCACCTTTCCCCCAGATGGGTGGACTTGTCCTCTTTCACCATACCCAAGACACTCCCATATAGCACATCTGTGTATATGTATTATAGATATATACATACAGTGCCAGTGACACTTGTATTTATAAGTATGACCATTTGTAATTCTTTTATTGCAGATTTCAGAAGCATATTCATGTCTGCAGACTGGTAAGATTCACCTTTATCTGTTAAGTGGAAGCTTGAGACAACTTTAACAAATGCGCATGGTTTGCAAATTCCTTGGCCAACTTTTAAGTAGCTTTACCAAATATTGGGCTATCCAGACAGTGAAGATGATATGAGATGGCTTAGCACTAACTGAATGAACATGGTTTACTTATTTCATTGATAGATTTGTACTCTTGAATGGTTTACCCTAGTTTCTTTATGATTTTTTTACTTGTTCAGTTAACCTGATGTGGTTAATTTTAGTGTTTACTTGTCAACTGAACTCGTGGTTTCTTATTCTTCCTATTGATTTGCTTGTAGATGTTTTGCTTGTGCTGCTGTTCTTTTCATTGTTATTTTTATAAGTTTATGCAATGTCTTGTTTCAAAACTGCATCAAGATTTCTTATGCCAGAATAAAATTGATATGGTAAAATACTATCTAGTTTGTTTCTGGTCTCATTCATCTGTTTTCCAGTTTTACATGAAACAAAGAAACAAAGACATCTGCTTTTTGGAAAACAATGTAGCCAGTTATCTGTAACAGTATCCTATTTTCTTTCATTTTTTTTAAACTAACTGGAAATTCCACTGAGAATATAGAAAGTGTGCATGAGAGGATGTACAAGAGTATACAAAAAGAACTTTGAAGCACAATAACCAAAAGGGGAAAAAATACCTATGCAGGCATAGAATTGTTCTATGCCTGCTTTCCTTGGTCATCAGATTTAAAATTGAGCTCCTAGGAATCCATCTAATTTTGCCAGGAAACAGAGAGATGTCCCTAGTCTGTTTTCTAGGTTTTTCTCTTAAACAAAAGCAAAATTGCACCTAAGAAAAATTGAGAGTTTCCATGGACTTGAGGACCACAGTAATCATAAGGCCTAAAATGCTCCATTTAACCACCCCAAGTATCTGTAATGGCATCCTCCCCATCATCTTCTTCCTTATGGATGTCTAATTCAAAGACCATTACCCAATGTTGGTCCCAGCCATCTAGGGTCTTGGGAGGGATAGGTTCCATCTTATGGATTCGTAATTCAGTAACTAAACTTGTCACTTTGGTGTCCTAAATTATCCATTTTGTTTCTCAAAACAAATCCTAATTAAGATTGCACTTTGTAGCAATGTTTTAGAATTTGTAAACTTTGCAATATTTGGTTTTGTATGGTGAATGAAAGCATAATGACTATATTTTCCTCTGGAATGTGTTGGATTTTGGTTAGCCTTAGTTGGGTGCAGATACTATGTATTTGTACTAGATATGCTTTATTTTTTGCAAGAACCATACATTTTTTTTCAACAAGGAAAAGTTAGAAAAAAAAATCTGTTTTTATTTGTATGAAGCATGTGGCGTTTTTTTTGAATAATTATTTTTTTTTTCCAATAACACACATGTTTCTCTCACTATTCTTATATTCTTGCCTTTTCCACCATTCTTTTTGGATGATCAGCCTATGGTTATCATAAAAACATCAAAAGGGCCATTGCCCAATGTTGGTTCCAGATACCCAGGGTCTTGGAAGGAGTGGACTGTATACAGACCTAACCTTTGACATTTTTTACACCATGTAGCCACTCTCAGACTTGAACCCACATTCTCACACTTGCCAGATTGAGACTAGCACCACACACCCAAAAAATAAAATAAGTTGAAGATTTTATATCATTATCTTTTTTCTATAATCATGTGGACATGGTAAAAACAAATTAAAACATTGTTAGAAGTATCTAGCATTGTCTGCAGGTCCTTTTTATGTTTTTATTTTTTAATTAATATCTTTTACAAGTATGCATCAAAGGAACCTCAAACCCTCTTTCCTCAAGAACGGTTGGCTTCAAAGTTGGGGCTTTATTTCCTATGATATTCAGGCACAGATGACTGACATGGAGCAGATACTGAAATGGGTATACAAGTCTCCATTTCCTTAAATTCTGGATGTGGATATGGGTTTGGCTATCCTATATAATATGATTATATCATGCTTCTTTATATAATTTTTTAAGATAAGTGTCATTTATCAAGGTTCTGGATGTGTAGTATGGTTTATCAAAACATATGATTTTGCAAATATAAAGTGTTAATGATGTAAAGTATATCGTAGGAAATGTACCATGTCCGACATTGGTACACTAGGCATGTATAAGTATCCAGGTAGCATAGTTCCTTTTATGTTTCACTTGAAAAAAAAAATATATAAAAGAAAAGGGAAGGGTAAGATCTGCTGCAGCCTGCTAGAATGCACCTTGCTGAATGGTTGAAGAAATAGCCCTGCATAAAAAGGTCCAGTGCCATCTGAAGATGAAGAACAGGCATAATTGGATTTTCATGTTGATGACAAATAACTAGTAACCGCACATTGCAAAAGGGCTATGGAAGAAGTATATTTTAAAATGGAGAGCAAGCGATAACATCACCTGGCAGGAGATAGCATCAACTTGATGCCACAAAGAGAGCAACTTTCTACATGAACTCAAATGATGAGGATAAAGAGGAGGATCTGAAGGAAGATTTTGTAAATGATAGAAGAAAAAGCATGCTATTTATGATAAATGTTTAGGCAATGACATAAGAAAGGGATTTGAGGGAAGGTACTTTAGTAGTGTCATCCCTGGTACTGAATGGCAATTCAAAAGATCAAGGTGGATTCTATCATTCTAAAGATATGGGAAAGTAAGGAAGTAACCTCTGCAATTTGAAAATTCTTGTATCATTATATGAATCCTTAAAATTTGGCCATATCCCCATGCTTAAGATGACCAAGGTTTAGAAGGCTTCTATTAGCTGATGGATATTTGATAAATTTCTCCATGACAAAATTACAAAATCTAAGTCCTTTCTTGGACTCTTAAGTATCTTGGGAAGTTACTGGCTTTATTACCATGGTACATAGTGGAGAGGTGTTCAAAGTAGGATGCAAAATCAGGTTTGGCATCTTGATAGTTGGGTATGTATTTTGTTTCATCTGTTGGTACAATGGATAAAGTCTCAGAAGAAATTATAGGGAAAATATTGGGATAGATGATGAAGAAAAATGTGGCGGATGCACTTAAAAAGTTACTTTCTTTGTTCTTCAGTAGTTGCTTGGCTTAAACATTATTAAAACAGCAGCTTATTAAATTTGCATGTTTGATATTCACTGAGAACGCTGACACTCATAGCATTGCATGGAAATGCTCAAGGAGAATACAAGGAAATTATTCCAGACACCATGTGTTCCCTTTGTGTTTATCTAATGCTTTCTATTCTGGTCTCTTTCTAGGAAAAGCATGGTTTTCTATGCTTCTACATCATATTTCCCAGAAATGTCAGTGAGTATACTGAAAGAATTCCCCTCCAATGATTTTGGTTTGAGGCAGTCGATAGGCCAAATGGTTGTTTTTATTTACTTATAAATAGTGTTATCTTCATATTTGCAGTTTACTGTAATAGTAAGATGTATTGTTGCCCATTAAAAAATGTGAATGCTTGGTCCTTTTTTAGATCACTCACTGTTAATGCTTTATTTCCTGGTTTTGGTCTTGTTTTTATCCTTTTTTCCCCTTTCTAATAACATATTGGAGCCACTAGGACAATGTATCCAAGTAATTGTTGAAATGCATGAGTGGTGCCAAGCCTTGAGTTTGCAAACCATGCTAAGAAACTTCAAAGGGTTATATACTAGATGTGTAATCGGATGAGAGACTAATTACCTGGACATGGAAAAAGATATTGATTTCTTACTGAATATAATTTCTCGTGGTCATTGCAGGAACAAAGCAGGAACTTTCTAGAGAAGGTGACTTTCTTTTGATATGTATGCATATTTGTTCAGTTTTTATGCCTTTTGTTTCACCCTCCAGACACGATATTTCTTGACCAGCTACACATGCACAAGTCGTGAGATGGGGTGTTCCAAAAGTTCACGGGGGAAGAAAGAATAATGCTTTGGTTAAGGCCCCATTTCTTTTTCTTGTTTTGGGGACAGTGACATTGGGTGGCTTAATTGCTGCGAGGTGAGTAATAGTCTGAGTTGTAAATTTTACTCACTTCACCCTGTTCCAAGGAGCCAATGGTCTCTGGGAGTACAAATGTTTTGATTTTTTTTTTATTTTTTTTTATTGTGGATGATTTTCAGGGCTTATCAAAAGCAAAAAGAAGCATACCCTTCTCACAATCCATTTCTACCTTGAATGAAAACCACAGGGTAAAGCAATGTCAAACGTGCATTCATGCATTTCCAATTATCTGGATGAATTTGTGCATTTTGCTCCCCATAAATGCACCAATTAGACATGGCAAATTAAATGGAGAGAGAGTCTTGACGTGCTCTGGAGTTCATGTACTGACGCTTTCTTTTCTCTCTTTATCCAGTTTATTTCAAATTTTTGCAAGTGGTTGGGAATCCTTCTCCTGGTGGAAATGGAATATTGAATATGGGGGAACTATGGAAAAGGATGTGCTGGATTATGTCAGTATTTGTTCTAAGCCCTACAGATGTATTCTTCTAATAGATCCGAGGTGTATAATCATCTTTCCAAGCACTAATAAAGATAAAAATGTGTTCTAGCAATAAGTAATAATATCTAAGCTATATCTTCATCTTCCTGGACCGTTAGCTGAAGCTGGACCTTTTTAAGCAAAGACTGAAAAGACTTTGGATAGAGAGGAAATGGCTTCGCTCATCATTGGCCTGAAACCCTGAAGGAGGCTTAAGGCTTTCACTGAGCTTGACTGTCATGTCTGGTCTGGTCCCTCAAAGTCAAGCCTTTATATCTTGCTTCTGAACCCTCGTTTCTACCTGTCCCTGAGGGCGTCGGAGTTCCAAGAAATGACGACCATCTTCCTGTTAACCGTTTTGTCGTTCCTATCAGCTTCTTGTGAGTTGTGACAGCTTCTGAAAAGATTAATACCTTCATCATCCCTCAGGAAAAAAAGATGGTTCATGTCTATTCAACTTGGCTTTCGCAATTGGCATCTTCTCCTTCATAGATGATAGAACACGTTGTGGATAGTGGATACAGAAACATCTGAGTTTTGAACAATTTCTTCTCGTGACTGGTATAGTCACTTTTTTGTTTTGTTTTGTTTTTTTTTTTCTGTTTTTCTTTATGTGGCTGAAATCGAGTGTATCGGGAATCCTGCATTTTAACACATCTATATAGGATTGTGGTTAAAATTAAGAGGCTCCTTAAACAGAGCTTGTTGAATTTCCTGGGTTCTCAATATAAGCTGATTTGCATCCGACTCAACGCAAACTATTATCTGCTTATCTAGTTTTTTCTTTTCTTTTTTAGTTCCATTGTTTAGTTAGCTTCTCGGTTAGGCAGTTCTGATTTTGAAAACAGAGAATTCTATGAAAGTGCAAACTGCAAACACCCTCCCCCAAGTGATCTTATTCCTATTTCCTAACGCCCTTTCCCTCTTTTTCTTTTCTTTTTAACACAACCTTTGGGTGTCTTCTCCATGAAGGGAAGCCCTATTAGATAAACCTTGCATTGAGGAAATATATGATGGGAGATCGACAGGCAAATCACTGCAGCAATGCTTTAAAAAACGACCCAGAATCGGAACCGTTCTGGTCACAGGTTTTTGAATTGACGGTTTAACCTTCTGGTTCAAATGGATGCATTCTGACAAAATAAATAAAAAATAATTAAAATTTATAAATGGCAAAAAACTGTTAAATGGGTCAAATAAGTTGACGGTTTGACCGCCCAAGTCAACAAGTCATTGATCGATTCAACAGTTTTTGGCCAGGGACCGGATTTGAAATAAAATGGAATCGGTTGCCTAGACGGTTCTTAGGCCAAACGGTCCGACCATCTAGGTCAATGGCAGTTCAAAAACCATGCACTACAAAAACCTGTGTAACTCCATTAAGTAATAAAATGAAAGGGTAGATCAAGATGATTTGGCCGTTTGCATAGAAGATCCTAAACCCTACCCTTCTCCATGAAAGGCAGACTAAGATGGTTTGGTTGTTTGCATATACCACCACCAACTCCAATTAGAAGTGATTTGTTACAAGTGCAAAAAGCCAGCTCCAATTAGAAGTGATTTATTACAACAGAAAAAGGCTAAAAGAGATAGAGATAGATCGATGATTTAAGCACTAGAAATTTAACGGTGGATATAGCATTAAATTGAACGGATAGACTCGTGTGGCTGACCCCATATATAGTAGCTGACCCCATAATATACGTTACTACGTTGGGCTATGTTTAGTATGACAAAATAAGAGAAATAAAAATTTGAAGCAAGGTGAAATTCCTAATAACTTTCCATCAACTTATTATTTCTTTCTTAAGCCTTTTATATATATGGTTGATCCTGCTAGCGTACATCACTCTACTTGACCTTCTTTCTATCCACGGAACGTTCGATATACAAGCAATCTTCTGAATGACACCCCACTCATTGTACGTTACTTCGCTTCCTCCCGTGTTCAGTTTCAGCTGTCAGCACCCAGCACAAAATACCATACACCTTTCTCAGGAAAACCACTGAAAACTTTAACTCCAATTCTTTAAAAACTCGGGAATCTTTATTCTGTGATATCTCAAATTAAAAGAAATAACAAATATTCCAACATTGTTCCCTGCCCAGAACACAAACAAATTAATAGCCTAAGAAGAATCAGACTCGCCATGACGCCATTCTGTTGCCTCTAGTTTGCACTACATCACAACACTACATCAAAAGTTTCATTCTCAACTGGGATATACATGTATCTACAAGAAAATATAGCAGAACAAGCATAAGATTTCCAATCCAGGACATCTGTAGCAAAAACATTGTCGTTTAAACAGTAAACGAAACATAAATTTTGAAATGGAAATTATCAGGCATTCTTGACACAGCATTTGTCAGTGAACCTTCCTGGCTCGATTTACAGCAACTGCTTTGATGCGATCCTATTATCAGCATACCTTCATGGATTTCGATGGTACGATGGTATTCATTCACAACATGACTTGTGATGACTGCAACTGCTTGATGTCACACGATGGACCAAAAGATGAAAACCTACTGCAGTCTGAATGCATATCAATAATAACGTTCTGAATTCTGTAATCAGGAAACCAACTCCCATCCAATACCTTTATAACATGATACTGATCACAACGCACTGATAGCCTTCCTTCCAAGCTTCTGTTTTGGCCTATATAGTCTGCCCTTTATTTTAAATCTAAGATGTCTTTTTCTGGTTCAGCAAATAGGAAAGCTTCCAAATCCTTGAAAGTTATCCCAGAAACACAACTAATCCTCTCCAGGATTTGTGCACCTATGTCATGATCCATTTTGGTGTAACTAAAATCCATTAGTCCTTTGAGAAAAGTACATAAGAAACCACCATATTACATACCCTCTTGACAGTTCACGTGATGAAGTTTTTCCTCGTAAGACAATTCACCTCCTGAAGTTCTTATGCATAACCAAAAATACATGAACTCTCTGTAGCAGCTGTCTAAAAGAGTTTTAAACATTTCAACCCAGCTAAGCATGTCACAATTTAGGCCAAAGAACTAAAGGAAGATTAAGAGTGGGCAATACCTCATTATCCCAAATATAGCCTCTTTGACAAACCATATCTATGGTGCAAAAAGAAGCCTAAGCTGCAAAGTAGAGTGATTTTTGGTTGTCTGTGCTCCTTTCAAGTACTACCTTCCATATTCCTACTAACACTCGTGAAGTACTCCAACAATCAAAATTAAAAGAAAATATAAAGTATGTCCTTCGGAATTCGCTTGTTCACCCTCTTAAATCCATTTCTAAAATAGTTTCTTTCTACCTACTTTATAAACCATCATGCAAAAAACGACCATCATTCCTGTCTTCAAATCAAAGTATTACTGTTTGTATTCATGATATCTTCCGGCCCCTTCTCCTACCATAAAGAGCCTTGATCAAAATCAAGGGCTAGTTCTTGTACCTACATCTGTATTGGTCTCTGGAAGGGTAATAGTAATTGGCTGCCAACCTGAATGATGAGTGATAATCCACCTTTTGTTAGTTATTACCATGTTCAAAATCTTGAGTATGTCACCCAAGACAAGATCTTTCAAGCATTGGTTCCTTAATATAGTAGCTGCTTCATACCTGTTATAGAAAATGAAATAATTAATTCACTAAGAAATTCAATTCCAGGTGCTAAACCAAATCGTAGGATCACCAAAGCTTTACCTGCATTGAGAAGCCATAATTGCAGAGCGTCCAATAGGGGAAGATAGAAATTTCTGAATTCCATCCCACGTTGACTTCGGGTACTGCTTAGGATTACCACCTAAAGGGTCCACACACTTCCAAAGCTTCTCCTTTTTACTGACATAATACTGCAATGCACCTAGAACTTGTTTTACTACCATTTGTTGTTCAATGGCATAATCTAGGGCCTTTCTAATGTCAGTATTTCTATGCTTGGGATCTCCATATCGAATACAATCAGTAATGTTTGCTTCAGTTGGTGCCATCATATCATTTTTTAAGGTGTTCAAGGCTAGCAAGATAACGCCTATAAGGCTTTGTACATATTCAGAAGGTTGTGGGCATCCTGGGGTCCCCCATACTCCATTACTGGGAACTGGATTTGCACCGATTGCAGAAGTGGGCTGAAACTCTGGTCCACGAGGCGGATATCTACTAATTGAACTGTCATGGTAAAATTGTGGGGTATTATGCAAAACATGTCCAGTTTGTGGGATACTCAAGCTTACTGGGCTTGGGGACTCCATGGATTTAGGTCTTGGTTCTCCATTTCGTTGTTGGAAACTAGGAGGATTGTGAATACTGCTGGGGTATTCAGAAATGTTTATCTTCCCAATATCAGGCAAATTTGTAGGAAGATTTGATGTAAAGGCAGGTCCATCAGCCCTGGGTGGCATTTGATGAGACCCAAGGGTATGAGAATTTGGTGGGAACAAGTTACCTGGTGTAAAGGAAGGTTGCACAGGGATACTGTTTGGTCTCAACTGTTGAAACTGATGCTGGTAATTGCTGGCAATGCCATTTCCATTGATCCATGCTGGATCAGGATTCCCAGGAATATAAGCAGGAGGCGGCACATTTGAGGAGGGATGAGGCTGACTAGCACCAAAGAATTCATGAGGTGCTTCCTTAAAATGTGTAGTCTGTACATATCCAGATTGATGGGAGTTTCCATTGATCTGACCTTCTTGAATCCCGATAGGCGCACTTGAAGTTCTAGATACATTTGGTTGATTTGGATTTCTTCGGTTTTGTTTCCCTTTGTTTTTATTATCACCATTTCTTCCACTATTGACAAACTTTTGGCTTCCCAAAAGTGAGCTTTCAGAAATGGGATTAATAGATGGGTTTACCAGAACAGCATCGACAACTGAATTTTTCAAAATGTCTGAGTTGGATATATTATTGGTATTACCAATATGTGGTAAATCACCATTTGGAAATGGAGGTCCTCCAGCTAAAAGACTGGTCCAAAGCCATACGGTCTTTGCTGCAGCGCGAAGTGGTGCAGATGCATTTTGTGGTTGTGCTAGAAGAATATTGTATCTCCTCATACGCAACTGATGGAGAGCATTGGAGAAGTCACGGTCACCAGATATCAGCAAAAAATTTGCAGGGGCAGGATTGTCCACCGCCCAGAAAAGCATATCTACAAGAATCTTCTTATCACTGGCATCTTTAACACCTGCGTATATTAACAAGGAGAAAGCTAAGTCCAAATGTTTCTCTGTCTATTTGGTAAGACCAGCTAATAATGTTTGGTAGGCTCAGTTTGGAAAGAATACAAGTACAAATACATACAAAATAATACAAAATACAAGGTTTTGTACTCTACATATTTGTATTTGTACTCCTTCCAAACTGAGACCAAGGCTGTGTTTTTGTTGCAATGCAAATAAATTTGCATTGATGCAAAACCATGGCAATGCAAATGATTTTAGTGTAAATTCTCACCTATTTTTTCCCAAATTTTAGCTTATTTTGTTTGATTGCAGTACAGATGAAGTAAATTAAGAAATGAAGCATAATAAAGTAAAATCCAAAACAAAATTAAACAAGAATTTGCATCTTTGCATTTGTACTAGTGCAAATAAATTTGCACTGCAACCAAACACAGCCTAAAAAGAAAAAAGGAAATAAGAAAAGCTATGCATACGCAGAACATTTTTATCACCAGACACATGTAGATCCAGGAGCATTTTGCTTAGATAATCATGTGATATTTCATTACCAACACCACACACCATGGATTTACCATAAATGCTCAAGATGCTAAAAGAATGATCAGTTTTCTCATCAAACACTAATAAAGTATAAACAAGAAAAGAATACCTAAAATAAGATTATATATAACGGACCGTTCACGAGTTAGCAGGAACCAATATCTTGGGTTTACAGAGATCAAGTTTGCCAAACCATAGCAGTAGAGTCAGATAAACTAAACAAAGCTGGTACCACAGTGCCAAATATAAATACGAGATCTCCACCCAAAGAAAAAACACTCACAAAATAACATGAAATAACATTGTTATTGAACCATTCTCCGCCAATAAGAAGTCTCCATCACCTTTACTGGGTAGGTTCTCCATTTTTTTTCTTTTCTTTTTATTTATTGGGTTGGGAATTTCACGCTAATTGATTTTAAAATACGAATAAACCATTTGAGAGAATTAAAAAAACCAGAAATAAAACAGAGAAAAAGATCGCCACTTTAGAAGCGTAAGAGTATAGAAATCAAGAAAAGCTTTAAAATCGTTATGAATCCAAAGATGGATTACCAGATCAAAAAAGAGATGAATAGAAACAAATAAATAAAGATGGATTACCAGATCAAGCAGAGATGAATGAACGAATTAGAATTTATCCGCACTAACCGATACAAACATATATCAAACAGAGTAAAATCAGAACAAGAATTTTAGTTGTATCTACAATTATAAACATAACTATCTTTGACAAAAATTATATAAAAAACTGAACATATACATTATGACACCATCAAAAGATCAGCTTAGGATTTCTATAACAAAGATCAACTACAACAACTCGAACACAGATTATAGCATCGATCGACATAGGAAAAAACGATAGAGAAAAGCAAAACCAATCATCTTCAAATAGAAACTAACAAATAACAGACAAATAAAGCTAGGGTTTCATCATCAACCGATGGAACCATTCAGAAAAGAAACCAAGCCAGGGCTTTTAAGTGTCGATACCAGCAGGGACATGATTAAGCGCTATGCCAGTACTGGAAAGCGCACGCTGGACGGATTCCGGGATTCGGTTCGTGTCTCCATAGGTGAAAATAGAGACGGGGCCACAGTAGTTCATCTTCGCCAAGGCGGAGCTTATATTCTGCGCAATCGCATGAGGGTCGCATCCCTTGGGGACCTGACAGTTCTCTATATCCCACCACACCGACGTCTTTGCAGACACATATTGCGGCTCCGCTCCTTCGTCCGCCGGCGACGAGGTGACCGGATACCCGCTCCCACCACCACCCATATTCTCGTTGCCGCTGGCGATAGTACCTCGTCAGGCGCAGGATAGAAATCTAGTCTAGCAGATAGCGTCGGTAACTGCTGGTCTGCCTCTCTGAGCAGTTAGATTGATGCTTCAAAGTCCTCTTTGGCGATGAGACGAGACGATGGGTTAGATCATGGATGCCCACTAAAAGCTACGTGGACCAACAGGGTATTTACAAATTTAACCCCGCTGCAGCTTCTTCTCTTCCCTTAACTATGCTATCGTGCGCGGGAAATAGAAATGATGGAGCCCCCACCCCCCTGTAGTTGTATGCATTCATCCTCGGGCGTTACGATCACGAGTGACGACGAGTCGTAGTCGTCGTCGTCGTCGTCTATTTTGCTGACTGAAAAACTTATAACTTACAAAATGCAAATTATAGCAAACTTTGGCTATCCCCAGCCACTGTCCACATGACACGTGGCTATATCTATCCCACTGTTGCTGTAGCATGGCAACTTATCACGCAGAGAGAAGCCTGTGGACAGCACTGGCAGTCCAAATATATTTTTTTCAAATTAGAAATTGACAAAAGTGCTCCGTTGATCCAATTGTAAATTGTACATTTGATTTTTTGTTGTTGCGTGCCGCGTGCGTCGATTCGATGACTCAAATGGCCGTCTTGTCCTTTTCTTTTACTAAAGTCTGTTTGGCGTTGGGCAGATGCGACTTTTGTACCGTTTTTTTTTTTTATTGTATCGACAAATGACTGAATGAGGGAAGCTGGGAAGAGACCATCCATCCATCCATCATCCATACTCTTTATCTTTTATTTGAGAAATGAAGATCTCTCTCTTTTGATAAAAAAAAAAAAAACACTTTTATTTGAGAAATGAAAATGGCTAGACTATCCCTCCTACTTGTATTTACACGAAAAAAACCTTTCTTTCTAAAGTCCCCTCTCCTGGCTAACGTGCGCCAGGAGGGAAAGGTTCCCTTTCTTCCATGATCATCAACTTATACGTGACGGTGGGGTATTCATAGGCTTCTAGTAATAGTATAGGTGAAGTGACTCGCTCACGCCACAAACACCCATGTGATTCCCACCCCACCAACTTACAATGAACCCCTTCCACCTAGCAGACGTCTTCTTTTATGTTTTATTCTCTCCCTCTATATATCTGCAAAGTGGAATTCTCCACGTCATTCTTCACTCTTCCTTATCTTCTCTTTTTTTTTTCTTGATTTAAAAAATAAATAAAACATCAAATATGGGATAATTTGCCAACATTGGGAAATTGAATCTTATCAAAGCATTAATCTTTACCAATGGTGTGGTGTGAAAATTTGCCTTATACCAACCATAAGTATTATGGCGTGGATTAAAATACATCACCTAATTTCTCTTTTACATTATAAAACACCTCAAAATTTTGATTTCTATTTTATTAATGGGTTTTATATATTTAATTTTATTAAATAAAATTAAAATAAAAGAAACCCTCTAATCATGTTGAAATTTTATTGGAATATCACCATATGATACTAAGCATGTGATCCCTCTCCACTTTTTCATTTTTTTTACAATTTCTAAAGTTCCACCTACTTCATCTCTTCTACTCCAAAACTATTTCTTTATAAAAGTCTGTCTCCTATCTATCTTCCTACTTTTCTCATCTCCAAAACTTGCTGCATTATAAATTTTTTTATCATAGCATGTACATTGGCGCCCCTGCCATTATAGGTAGATATTACAACAAGAAGGGTGCGCTTTGGGTTGTGTTTGATTGAAAATTTATTAAATTTTCAATAGGTTTAAATCCTAACAGGAGCCCAATGTAGTTGAAAATTTTCAAATTATACAACACAGCTTATAGCTCTATACTAAAGCCCTTAAACATGAGAGCTTCTCCATACATATATATATATATGTATATAATTTATCCCTAAAACCGTGTTGTTTCCTAATTAAACCTGTCATGAGTCTCGTTATTTAAGATAGAGACTCATTTAATCTCCTAAATAAAATAAAAAACCTGACAAGTGGCTTAAATGCTTCAAGAATCATGAGTTACCCTCTGAATGGCTACTAAGGTATAGTTGTAATTGCCTTGTTCTCATTCCAAGGTTATTACATGGTATTCACAACTTCATTTCTTATTCTTTATAATCTTCCTTTTATTTTTAATATTTTATTTTAATTTCTTATTTGATTATAGTATTTAATTTTACTTGACATTGTTCCTTTAATTCTTTCCACCAAACTTACTCTATTATTAATTTAATATAACTTAATCTATATCTAAGTTATTCTTCTGTGCAATATAGAGTGAGTTTGGTATATGGGACTTACCCATCATATACTTAAAACACCAATCACGCTTTCCTTAGTAGGATAAACTTTTTTGGGAATTTATAAAATCTTTTATCACACTTTCTTTTTGTCTAATTAACTGCCTGAGCACCATTAGCTCTCTCTTTTACTTTCACATTTTTAAGCTTTAGTCATGACTAAATCATTATACACCTTTAAATTAAATATTATAGTGCATGTTGATCTTAGAGTCGGTGTAACAAAACATAAATAAATAATTTGCTTCACATTGTTGTGGTCTTGCATAAATCTGTGTGGCAGAAACGGTGATGTGGCCTTAACCACTACAAAGGAATAAACAACATTAAGCACAACTTTTTGTAATTTTTGGATGAATGTGGGCAAGTCATTAATTTTCCTAGCCTCCTACTCCTAGGGGCGTAATGCTTTTCCCTTCATTAAATGTTTCTCTTCACTTTTAGTTGGTTTGGTAGGCCGGATCTCTTACCCACAGCTTCCTGTCCACGTCATAAATTTTAAACACATGTCTATTAGTATGTGTTTCTTCTTTATATGTGCAGAATTGCATATGAATTCAATAAAGTGTAATAGAACGGGCTTTAACTCCATTTTATCAGAACTTACCTATTAATCTAATTAATTTTTTAATCTAAAAATAATTAATCTTTCCCCTTCCCAAAAACCCTAATAGTTTCATTCTCTCCATTCCATTCTTTACAGCATATTGTTTCAAGAATCTTCACTCGCATCTCTCAACTGGCAACCAGCGATGTACTCATTAGCATCTTATTATATCTGTACTCCATCGGTTAACCTTCTTCTTTTATTTTCCATAACGTCCTATTCTAAGAGATTTCATCAATATCCAGCAACTGGCAATTGAGGATGTGCTCACCAATACACCGGTGGTTAAGTAACATCAACCAATACAAAAAAAAATTGAGCATTATTTTCTTATAGTTCTTCCAACCAGGTTCTTCTCACTGGTTGCCAGTTGTCGATTGTCGAATGTCGGATGTCGGATGTTGGTGAAATCTCTTGGAACAAGATGTTATGGAGAATAGAAGAAGAAGGTTAACTAATGGAGTACAGAGAGAATAAGATGTCAGTGAATACATCGCTGGTTGTTAGTTTCTGATTGCTAAATGCCAGTGAAGTTTCCTGGAATAATACGTTGTGGAGAATGGAATGGAGAGAACGAGACTATTAGAGTTCTTGGGAAGGGAAAAGGTTAATTATTTTTAGGTTAAAATTTTAATTAGGTTAATGGGTGAATTCTGACAGGATGGACTTAATGTCGTCCCATTATATCCCATTGAATTCACATACAATTCTACATATATGAAGAAGAGACACATACTAGTGGACATGTGTCCAAAATTTATGGTGTGAATAAGGACATGGGCAAGAAGCTGTGGGCTGGAGATCCAGCCTCTCAACAGTGTATATTTGGATTGGATGCCTAGTCTGTGAACATGTCAGTTTTGCACTTCATCGGGTCTAGATTTTTGGGACAGGCCCATTCACAATTAAAAAAAATCACCCAAACCCATCCAAGTTGCACCTTTAAATACAAGTTTGGCCCTTCACTGAAATCAAAGCCATCTTAGTATTTCTTGGAGGAAAGAAATTAGTGGAAAATGCATTATTCTTTAACAATAGTATCTATACAAAGTTGACTGTTTTTCTTTTCTTTTTTAGCATATGAATATAAAAGTACATGATATACATGTATTTGGATTTAATTTTTATAATTTATATAATTTAAGACAAATATTCACTTTATATAATACAAATAATACGATGAACTATTTCAATTTAATTAAGATTTTCCTAAGATAAACATTTTTGTTTCAGAACCACAAGATCCACAACTACACTATTGCTTAGATATGAAATGGTTAGTTGCATGTTGTAAAAAAATATGTATATATTTATTCACAACCACAAGATCAACAAACATTATATATCAAGGCTCCTTTAAATTTAATGAGTGGGGTTGGGGACGGAGGCACATGTGTAGTACCTGGCATTAATGGTTGTGGGCATAAAAGAGTAGATTTTCTGCATCTGCATCGGTCTGCATCGGTTGAAAGTCAGGCATCTGCTATATAATAATAGGGTAGTTAATGACCTCCACCCAATGTATGTATTTTTCATTTGTTGCGCGCTATTCACGTGGTATGTCTGCAGTGCAATATAGTTGGGATAAGGCTTGAACGATAATAACTATGACGATGATATTTTCATGGTAAATCTGCAAGCATTTAGGCTGAGTTCTATGTGATTGAGCTATGAGATTAAATCAAGTTTGATTTTCTATTGAATAATCCATTCTCTCTCTTTTTTTTTCTTGGATAAAAATAACCCATTTTGAAAGGATATAGCATTATTAGGTTAAGAAACTAAATTATATTTATGATTGTCATTAAAGGATATGAGTTAATTTTTAACTAACAACACAATTTAAAGTTAATATTTATTTAGCCTAATTAACCACATGTTTAAAGAGAAAACCACAGACAGAAGATAGAGTCAATTTTACTCCAAAATTGTTTGCAAAAGCATATTACAGATAGATGCATGGTTTTGTCACAGTGTGTTCCTTTTCTCTCTTAAAAAGCTAACATGGCTTGGAGGAACAAAGCAATAACTTACAGTTGCGGGTGATAGTGGCGGGGCAAAATGTCCCCACTTGTTCCCACTCCCACCATGGTTTGTTGGGCGTATGTGGGGGAAGAGGGACGGGGGTAGGAGGTTGGATTTAATTAGTAGGGTGAAGGTGAGATTCCATCCCGAGTTTGGCTTTGGTCCGTGCAAGCCCGTGCTCAGACTATTCAAAGAGCCTCTTGCAATTGTAAGTATCTCTCCATG